TGTCTATTTTACTTGCTGGTCCTGCTAAGACCATGACTCTTTTTGGGGACCTCACTTCACATCAAGGCCACCTTAAGGGTTGGTCTTGTCCAGGCCCTCTAAATACGCGGACAGTCGCGGCCCCATACCCACAATAAATTTCCTACTGGGTTACTGTGGATGTACAGTAACTCTTATGAGGTTGATGCTGTGATCCCAAGACATAGCACAGTACACAGCATCAGCGAGAGTGTCAAGATAAGGGACTGTCCCGACAAATCCAGAACAGCTGGAATGTATGATGTTTTATCTCATCTTGTGTCATCTATCAGGGTACAAGCAGTGTGGTGCTCAGGAAGAGACCGGTACGCAAAAGTGAAACTGCAGGAGTAAAATATCAGTTCCCCTCACCTGCTAGACAGGGAAGTTCTGTGTGGCAAGGCTGTGTAAATTATAGGACTGGATGAACACATATACAATTATTTTGGCATATAAACAGCTTCCATACATGAATTTTATCCATGTATTTAGCTGTATGCCTAGATTTAATCTCTAAAGATATGTATTCATTTTTTTTTTATTTTTGGAAGTAACTAAGTCAATTTAGTTGGTGATCCAGATATAAATATACAGTACAGCATGTCAGCTCTACATATTTATTAAATGCTGCCACTTGCCTGAAACATACAAATGAAGGAGGCAAATCTGAAAATCGGGCTTCCAAAATAGCAACTGTCTGTGTTGTTAACATCCAATGGGTCTATTGTTATGAAAATAACATTTAAATCTTCCTGATTGGCTGAGGGCACTGCAGAGCACTGATTATTGAGGCAGGAGGGCAGACAGGTTTGTGGTGTTTCTTATGTTTTATCAGAATGCATCACAAAGAGACAGGCAAACCACTGGAACAGAAAGAAGCACGAGACCCAAACAAGAGGAGGCCATCCACTGAACCAGGGACATCCAGAACATGATCTATCTATACTGCTGTATGGAATGAAATACACAGAACCAGGGAGGCCAGGAACATCCGGAACACAATATATTGGTGTATGGAATATAAATACACAGAACTGAGGAGGCCAGGGACATCAGGAACACAATATATATATATTAGGGTACGGAATATACAGTAAATAGAGAGAACCAGGGAGGCAGGGGACATCCAAAACACAGTATACTGGTGTATGGAAAATAAATACACAGCTGTACAGAAAACCAGAACATAGAGGCTATATAGGGATAGGTTAAATACAGTATATGTAGGCAAGCGCAGTCTGTTTCATCCACAGCAGCATTGCAGAGGGAGAGGAAATCAAGACGAACATGGTTCCTTTATGGTTTACAGGGTCACTGGGGCAGTGATTCAGTTGGATGCTGGCCGCCCATGTGACTCTGGTGGCCATCTTGGGTGTGGCAGGGTCTATTTAGGATCCTGGCTCCTGAGTTTGGCACGCATTCTAGTGTGTGGGTAGTGTAGGGACAGGTCACCCATCTGTCAGGGACAGTATTAGCAGTAGGGAAAACTTAGGGATCTGTCACTCTCCTTGGACATTTTCCCATTTGGGATAGGCACGGCCATGTTGCATTCCGCCCCTTCAGACAGATGCTGTCAGTTTGACTGAAACCTGCTCCTCTACATGCTGTTGGCATCTGGGAGTGGTCCTGGTTGGGCTTCCTTCTGCTGGGCTTCCTGTGAACTGTTTCTCAATGACTTCAATAGTTCTGTTATTTCACCCACCCACATACATATTGTATATCTAGTATCTGTCTGTTTAATATCTATTTTCTATCTATCTGTACCTATTGATCTATATCTATCTATCTATCTATCTATCTATCTATCTATCTATCTATCTATCTATCGGTAGGTATCTATCTATCTGTACCTATTGATCTATATCTATCTATCAATCTATCTATCTATCTGTACCTATTGATCTATATCTATCTATCAATCTATCTATCTATCTATCTGTACCTATTGATCTATATCTATCTATCTATCTATCTATCTATCTATCTATCTATCTATCTATCTGTACCTATTGATCTATATCTATCTATCTATCTATCTATCTATCTATCTATCTATATCTATCTATCTATCTATCTACTGTATTTATCTATCTTTGTATAATAACTATACAAAGATAGTGAATAACTATTTATAACTATAGAAGTATCTATCTGTATCTATCTATCTGTATCTATCTATCTGTATCTATCTATCTGTATCTATCTATCTGTATCTATCTATCTGTATCTATCTATCTATCTATCTATCTATCTATCTATCTATCTCTATTTAGTATTTATTCTCTAAATATCCATTATCTACAGACACAAACACAATGTATGTCATGTAGGCTATCTTTCTGTATTTTCTAATGACTGCCACTGGCCCGAAACTAATAAAGAAATATGTCTTGGGTCCAGCTAATGGAAGTCCTGGTTTGTCCTGATGGCCTGCAGGAAGAGCTTCCACGTGGCTGGACACTAATTCTCAGAAAGCCTTGTGGAGTGAAAGGACACAGCACACTAGAAATTGCCTTTGATTAACACGTAGCTACAGGCAAAGTTTGAATTCTACATAATTATGCTGCTCTGGAAGGAAGTTAGAAAACAATACAGAAACACACAATACATTTATTGAACGGTCAGTCCACCCAAAACACATCATTTTAGTCTTGGTGAATCAATGGGAGTAACTGGCTTCTTGTACCTCTCAGGAAACCAGAGATAAGACATCTAAAATGAAGGTCCTGGCAAACTAATTATAAAATCAATTAAAGGAGAATGGAGTCTTGAGATTAAAGTGGTTGTAAACCCTTACATATACCGAGTGAAGTGACTGGCCTCAGGTGATACACAGAGATGAAACAAAGCCTCCTACATACGTTGTACCTGTTTATCGGCAGCCCTCTCTTATATAGAGCAAATCAAGGCTCAGCATTTACACAGTATTTCTGAGCTTCAGAAGGCAGAGGTTGGGGATCTGATGTCACACACTGCACAGCATAGAGCAGAGAGCTGAGTGTAATCTGAGACCTGAGTAGAGGGAAAGGGCATACCCCCTCTACATAGTCTCATAGGGAAATATGCACAGCTGAGTCTATTAATTACCTGTTGCGTGCTGGAGGGTTTGGCCTGTGTCTTGGAATTTCTAGTGTTGGCAGGAGACCAGGAGTCTCCAAACCTTTTAAACAAAGGACCCGTTAACTGTCCTTCAGGCTTTAGGGGGGCCTGACTATGGCCAGTGGGATTAGAAAATACCTTGGCATCAGTGGAAGTAAACAGTGCCATCTAATTGGTTTTAGAGGAAGGAATGGTGCCCCATTGTTGGTATCAGCAGGAGAAAGTTTGCTCTATTGATGGTATTTAGAGGAGTAGTGCCCCATCATTGGTGTTTGTGGGAGAAATGGTGCCCCATTGTTGATGTCAGTAAAAGGAATAGTGCTCTATCATTGGTGTCAGTAGGGGGAATAGTGCCTCTTCATTAGTATCTGTGGGAAGAAAGGTGCCCCATCATTGATGTCTGTGGGGGGAATGATGCTTCATCATTGGTATCAGTGGGAGGAAGAGTGCCCCACCATTGGTGTCTGTTGGCAGAATGGCCCATCACTGGTGTCTGTCGGAGGAATTGTGCCCCATCATTAGTGTCTCTGGGTGGAATGATGCCCCATCATTGGTGCCTGTGGGAGGAATTGTGTCCCATCATTAGTGTCTGTGGGAGGGAAGGTGCCCCATCATTGGTGTCTGTGGGAGGAATGGTGCCCCATCATTGGTGCCTGTGGGAGGAATTGTGTCCCATCATTAGTGTCTGTGGGAGGGAAGGTGCCCCATCATTGGTGTCTGTGGGAGGAATGGTGCCTTATCATTGATATAAGTGGACGGAATGATGCCTCAAGGGATGGGTAAAGGCAAGCAAAAGGGTGGCATTCAATTCACAGGCTACAGTTTGGAGACCATTGGCATAGACTGCCAGAAGTGACTCATGCAGATAGCAGAGGAGTAACAGAGCAGAAAGGAACCATGCTATGTGCTAAAGATTGAGACAAATATGCACTATAGGATGAATATCTTTTGTTCATTTTTCATTTCAGAGGTTTACAACCATTTTAAGAGCCTCACATAATGCTCATGGAAGAAGGCTAGAACTTGGAACTCAGATGCAGGTATCTTACTACTGGGGTCTCCGAGTTGTATAAGAATCCTATGGCTGAATTAACTGGCCAATATCCACTTGATTCTGAAATATCGGTTTTGGCTATACCAATTTTTAATGAGTAAATCCCCCTCCAAATGGATATTTCAGTATTATTTATTTATATTATGGTTACTAGCAAGTTGAATCACACGCTGGATTCCTATATTTGCCCTGCATGGTGAACCCCCCCCCCCCCCAGCATAATTTGCAGTTTCTCTACCATAGCCAATCAAGGATGAACATTAATGTTGCCCCCCCATAGATGGATTCTCCAAAATGCAGAATAAATTAATAATTGGCTATGCTACAGCCTTGTGACCACGGCAGGGCTACAACATGCTTGGGGGAAATTTTAGGGCTGAAGTCTCTGAGAGATTCAAGAAGTAGCCACCAGCATCCACCTAACAAAATGGACTGATCCTTTAAGAAGAGGGAACACATAAAACAACAGGAGTTATCTGAGTGTCCTGCGGCCGGGGCCCACATACTTACATTGTAGAGAGGTATGTCTTGGTAGTGAGCAGACGGATGCATAGTATAACTCATGCTTTTGCCACCATGCATGCCCGCGAGCGATCCTGAGTGCAGCATGCCAAGGTTAATAGTGTTGTGCTTATAAGCGGCATTCTGAATGGAGGAGACAATGTGATGACAAGGTATGAACATACATGCTGAACTGACGGGGAAATATGAACAAACATAACAAAAGAAAGCCCACAGAGATACACTGTGAAGCACATTCTGGGTCTTGGGCTTGCAGACAAAGCATATTGTACACAGATACATTATACAGAAAGACCAATACACTTACAGAACTGACATAGAGAGATCCATTCTGCTTAACTGCCTGCAAAAACCATGAGGCTGGGTTTAGTGTATTCTGGCATTACTGAAATCGTACAGACAGGAAAAGTTGGAGCCAATGGTGGAACAGTTCAGGATAGAGAAGATACTTTGTTACAAAATTATTATACTTTTATTATATTATACTTTTATTATTATATTATACATTTAATATTATATTAAATTATTATTTTATACTTTTATTGTGTTAAAAATTATTCTACAGAGGCAGTGGCCCAGCATAAATAACAACCAAGGTGAAGGTCCATGAATGATGAACTTAAAGGCAGGTTTGATGTTGAGCAAACCGGTGCCTGACGACCCACCTGACTCCCGGCATTATATCACAAGCACCGGGCCAATCAAACTGCACATTCACCTCCTCAGCAGTTCCATGAGTTAAAGTGTAACTAAAGCCCAAACTTTTTTGGGTTCAAAATAAGTTTTTGCCTTTAGTTATACTTTAAAAGAGAAACTCCCTGTTTTTTGGGGAGGATTATGATGATGGCATGTGATGACCTATGCCTTCCATTTTAAGAACACAATGCTATGTTTAAAATGAAATCCCTGAAAAATTGGAACTAATCTATGGGACTGATTGGGATAAAGCGTTTGCTATCTAGCTGAATATCAATGCACTGCAAATGAAAACATAATCACAAATCTATCAGCAGAACAGCAGTAACCATGAAAAAATAAAATTCACCAGGGCCAGATTGTTAATATCCTTGTGTTCCTCAAAGGCAGCAAAGAGAACAGAAACCACTCGTGCATCAAAACTACAAGACATCCAAAGGGTTTTGTGTTTTGTGAATCTGCAGATTCCTCTTTCGTATTGCTAAGATGTTTTTGAAACAAACAAAAGTTGTCCCATGGATGTTGTTTGCATTGTGCAGTTGAGAAACCTCAACACCTTCCTGCTGACAGACAAGCTAAACCTCCAAAAACCAGATGCAAGTAATCACAAAACAATAGGTAAGAGACATTGGAGTTGATTTATTAAAGGTACATAAATTGTTCACTTTGTAAGGGAAGTTGCACTATACAAGGAGGTTATTAAATGAGCTGAAGCTTTGCTGTCTTTCAACATTCAAACATGTGCATGCAAATTTGCTGTTTTTTTTGCATTTTTGGGATTGGGTATTCTTTGCACAATGAAATCTTCCCGCATTCACTAAGCATTGGGGCAAATTCCCCTGCAAAGTGCAACTTCTCTTGCAAAGTGAACAACCCATTTGCCTTTAGTAAATCAACTCCCTTACATCATTTGCACCATCAAAACAGAGGCCAAACGTAAAAACAGAGGGTGCATCAGCCTTGTGCATTGTCTTAAATAATTTTTTTTATTGAAGAAATGAAACAGATGTGTAATCACAAACAGCACATGATATCAAGCTCATCAAGCTCTGAAGAGGAGGGTACTACCCTCGAAACATGTAAGCAATTGGAAGTGTCTTCTCTACACTGGGATTGGCGCAGTGGAGTGTGCAGTTCACTGTTGATATTGATGAGCTTGATATCATGTGCTGTTTGTGGTTGAACAGCTGTTTAATTTCTTCATTAAAAATATTGAGCAAGGTTGGTGAGCCTTCTGTTTCTGTTTTTCCAGTTGTCTTTTTAGGCTTCCCCAGTCCTCAGAGGGCTGCAAAGTCTTGCCTAGCTTCAAGTTGTCAAAGAACTAAGGTCCTCCATTACTGGAACATCCACCTCGAGTGCAGGAGGTAGTTTGTTTTGCTAAAGGTCAAAAGTAGACTTGTCTAAGTTTACCAAATCAAGAGAAATTAGCAGATGTATTGTAGGACTGTGAGCTGAAGTGTCTCTTAATATTGATAATCTCCTGTTACATCTTCAGTCTCATATCACTATTGCTACAGCAGACCTGGGGGGGGGGGGGGGGGGGGCACTTGGACAGTTTAAACCCAATGAATCTGCATATTCTGTGCTTTAATTAGCTGAATTGATCACAAACTGCATTCCTAAGCCCAAGATCCCGTGTGAGCCTCCCAAGCAAACTTTCCACTAAAACTGGACATGACTACATCACCTCGCTTTGGATGTCACTACAAAAAAACTCTTTGTTTAACAGCACCATGGGCATAAAAAGGTCCTACAGTGACCTCACTTATCTATATTTATTGAAAAACTGATGTACCTGACTGATCATATTAAATTATTTTCAACTATTAAAACCTACTTTAGGTGACAACAGCCCCTTTAAAGGGCAGAAGATCACATATTTGGCCCTGCCATTTTCATAAGTTGGGGTGACTAGGGTAAACAAAAGCTAGATACATAATTCTGCATGTTCTGATGAATAATTGATCTCCTTAAAGCAACATGATAAATCCAATCCATGAACTTCTGTTGCTGCAAGGAAAAAAATGATAATCATATAAAAATATGTAAACATACCCTGTCCAATCTTCTAGCTTCTATGTGTCTAAGCAGCTGTTGTCTCCAGTCTGGTGGCATTTTGTTACAGCTGTCGTCTACCTTCCCCTGGTTCTGCCGTGCTTTGATTTCATTGTCTGTTGACTTGTCACCATAGTTCACCAAATTGTAATCAGATGGTATCTTTTCCAGAAGAGCTGCCATTGTTGGCCTTGCAGATACAGGTCGCGTTTGAGCAGTTCCATAAGTCTCTGTGCTGTAACTTCTAGCAGACAATGGCCTCCTTTGCGTCAAAGTTTTCACTTGATAACTGCTTCCTTGAGGTTTCATCTCTGGATATGAAGTATGGTCATCATCGTACCGACCATTCCTTTTCAGAAACTGGGATTCAGCAACTGACATGCTGCTTTGCCGTTCAATAGCCCCAAGGAAGGGTGCTCTACCGTACCGATCTGTCTGCGGAAGTTCATGAGGCTCACTCACTCTCCTATACATAGACATTTCATTGGCACTTGCCAAGGAATCTGCTCTTTTCAAAAACCCTGGCCTTGAACTTTGAGTTTGAGTAAACTGAGGTGGAATGGAATTTTCATTGACTGAGGGTTGAGAAAAGGAGAACATCTGTTCCATTGGTGGGTATCCCCTATAGGCTCTTGGACTAATCAAATCTTTTACCATGGTTTTTGTTTGCTGTGATGAGTAGTCAGGATTATATGAGAAAGGAGGAGGTACTCTCTTTTCCTGTTTAACTTCAACTGCACCCTGCGGGTTAAAACTTTGGTCAAACTGATACACTTTTTTTGCAACAGGTTTTTGTTGCTGTCCTCTGCTGGTTCCATAACCCAATAATTCATCATCAAGCATTGGCACAGACTGACTTCTAGACATACTGTGCTCCTGCATCATCCCCAAATCTGGTCTGTCATGGCTTCCTTGCATTATGTTTCTTGGATCATAGTTTTGCAAAGGTATATTGTAGACTTTGAATGCACCAATATCTATTTCATCTATACTCTGAGACTTTTTAAACCTGCCTGTCTTCAAGTCCTTCATTAATGGTGAGAGACGTTCTGTACTCTTGCTGACCGATATGGTGTTTTTGGCAGATTCCGGACGACAATGGCCATGCGAAAATACATTTGCCATGTTCCGATTGGAACCTGTATCGTGGAATTCCCACGGTGGAGTTGCAGAGAATGTGCTTGGGTTCTCTAAGGACTGTGGCTTATGTTCTTTCCTCTCTGGCAATGGACTGTTTACAGGGGTGCTTTCAAGTTTAGATGGAAAAGCTGTTCTGTCTTCAAATGGACTAGGAGTTCTGGTCCAGTTTTGCCAAGGGTTACTAGGAGATACATCAGGTTCTTGTGGGTTTCTTTGCGTCGGCTGCTCCAGCTCCAAAGGAATGCCAACAATCCGATCTTGCCTGATTAACGGCCGTCTCCCATGAGCGGATGTACTCCTTGATTTTGAATTCAGCATTGGATTGGCTCCTGAACTGTCCACTGTGTTTTCCTCAGCTACAAATCCAGTGTTATCATAATGTGAACTGTTGTTCCAATTCTCGGTGAAGAACGAGTCATTGAGGTTCTGCCGGTCATTGCGTTGCTGCAGATTGCCAATTGGTGCTGTTTCCCGCTGACTCAGTAATGGCTTAGATTCAATCTGCTGCGGGAAGGACTGAGTTAGCCTGGGGAATAGGGGAAAAAAATGTTAAATCGTAAGTTTCAAGGAACAAAAATGATTCTTTGGTTTATAGTGTGAATGAAATAAAGTATAAAAGTGTAAACCAAACTAAATTCTATTCTGGAAATTTTGCTTTAACAGCTGAGGGCTTGAGCTTCTATGGCTTACATTGTTTGGGCATCTCTACAAGAAATCATCCACCAAGATCCTGGCAGGACAAATGTAAGAAGCTTCCAAATGCACTTTTTCCATTGATGAATACTAAAAGAGTGAGTGAAGGGGTTAATACTGAGTTTGAACACCCTTCAGTCTCTATGAAAATAAATCATAAACCATATAATCGGTAATATGTTACACTCGACCACATGAAAACCAATTTGAGCTATGGCATCAAACTGGGGAGTGGAGATAGCTATCAAGTCTGCACTAAGATGTGAGTCAGATTTTAGGCATCCTTTGCAACAGAAATTAAATTTTTTATAAGATACTCCCTAAGGGTTAAATACTTCTTAAAGGATGAAGACACTGCAACTTTTCTCCCCAGAACATTTAAAGCGAACTAGCTGATTATAATGAACCGGGCCCGATCAGTCTGCAATCAGTCTAGTGAAACATACAACTATTTTATCATAGCAGAAACAGGTAGGAATCTGTAAACAAAGTTTGTTAAAATTCCTGCAATGTACATTGATCACCCAAAGGGGGGCTGTTTTTTTTGCTATAAATACGGTGGCCTGATCTTTATAAATAAATAGAACGGCTAATGGCAATTAAACACTGTATGTTTAGTATCACTTTAATTATTCTGAATAGGTAGGTATGCCATCCCCTAAATGTTTCAAAGAAGGTGATACTCTCCAGCAGGGACACAAGCAGGAATGAAAAACAGATTCAAATTCCTCCATAATCTATCAAAAAAGAAAGTTGACTTGATATACACTTCAGATTTCAGTGCCTATGTCTACGTTTTCTGTGTTCAGTTTGCAGACGTTAGTGATGAAATATAGCGATTGAACAGACCTGTTACCCCACAATGAACTGTTCACTGCCTCCTTAGCAGATATCTGCACTTTGACGCGAGCATTGGAGGATCCGGATGATGCCTGGGAAGGCGAGTAATCAGAATATGTCCCCGAAGACACGCTGTTGTGATGGTGTTTATCCATCTCTGACTCATCTGTAGATTCTGTGGAGGTTAAACACACTCTTAAACAGAATCATCCATTTGTACAATTAAAATTTTCTCCACTAGCTTCTGTTGCCTTTGAGGACATTTTGATTGTTAACTTATGAGGAACCATAAGATCAAAAACTATAATAAAGAAAATATGACAGTCCAACCTTTTTTATCTTTTCCCAGAAGAACAAGTTTTGGAGGGTACAGAGGCGTCTCGATTAATGATGGACGGAGTTCAGCCATCCGCATTTCTGCTGGGCGATGTCCAAAGGGCTCCTGAAAGGACAAAGATCTGTGTTGGTGCTCCTTTCCTGCACAACTATATTGTTCATCTAAAAACAGGGGTCAAAACTAAAAGGTCATTAGCTGCTCCCACTGCAGCTCAACCCTTCCAGTGTACCAACTACGTACCATACATTTTCTACTCATTTACTAAACCCGGCTAAACAAAATCCCAAACTTTTTTAGCTTTGGCTAAAGAATGGAATGGTTAAAAAAAATAACAAATGTTTTTTGTTATTGTTTTCCATTGGGAAGATTTTCCTTCACTTCCTGTTAGAGAGACAACAGGATGTGAGAAGAAGTCTCTAGAATATGAGTGGCAATCCCCCCTTAGACAGCTGTCATTAGAACAGGTGTCTCTATTGGAATATCTTCCTTCAACCTCTAAAGGCAGCTGGAAAATTTGGGATTTCGTAATACGTTATGTCTTGGTCCAGCACAATCTGCCAACCTGCATATGGGATCTGCCATTAAGGGACAGAGTCCACCTTCTTTATTTTAAGAACAATATTCACTACACTATGGTAGGTATATTTTAAATTAGAACTGTTGCAAAGTTATCGACATTTAAATATTCTCATATTCTTAACCAGTTGCAAATGAGCTTTTAAAACAAGTCCTTAGTAGCTAAGGGTACTGTGGAGTAATTCATCACTAAATGTTCACAGCTACTCCCCCTCGCATCAGTGTCTTGCAGCTCAGCTCCTCCTAGAAGAGACTCAGCATCTCAGCAATCTCTAATATAGCTATTCTCAATCAGTGTTCTGTGAACTTCAAAGGTTGCTAGAAGCTCCATGAGCTGGTGCTGATTGACCTCCCATTTGATGGTGTCTAGTTCCAAGTCCAATGCTATTTGGCAGAACCAGCAACATGACACCAATGGTCTTTTATTTATCTATATTTATCTATAAGGGTGTCATTCTTCCTAATGAATACTAATGTAAGGGGCATTTCCCTGATAACCCTAATGAACTGATTTTAGTAAGAGTTCCCTGAGACCTGAAAATTATTTCAGCGGTTCCTCTAGGGTCAAAAGGTTGAGAAAAGCTGCTTTACCATGATTACAGGGCAGGAGCTCTGGGGGGGAGAAGCAAGGGGAGCTGAGATGCTAAGAGAAGGACATGAAGAATTTTGCATATGAATTGCTTCACAGTGCATACAGCTACAAAGGCCAGCCAACACATTATTATTTAAAGCCCATTTACTGTTTATTCAGAATATGTAACTATAAAAACTGTGTGCAGAGCTAGTTCACCCCACGTACACATAAAACATGTAATAAAAAATATATAATCAAATAAAGTCCTCAAAATAAGTCCATGGTGTGCGACTAAAAATTATATAAAACCCATATCCATGGGAAGATACTGTGCCACAAAAGAGAGAAGGAGATCCTCTATCGCCAACACTCACAGCCAATTACCAGAAAAAAAGACCACAAGTCATGCGGTCAAAACAGCATATATGGGGCATATAGTCCAGAACAAGTCTTCTCCATCAGAGTTTTTCCACTGCTACTCAATTTTAAAAAATACTACACTATGAAGAGGTCTTGTTCTCTTTACATATATACAATTGGGACCTTTTGATTATCCTTGTGGCTCTATACTGCATTTATGCCATCGAGTGAGTAGCAATGGAAAAACTCTGTTGGAGAAGACCTGTTCTAGGCTTCTTGCCTTCAAATATACCCTATGTATGACTGTGAGTGTTGGTCGGTGGAGGATCTTTTTCTCTCTTTTGTGGCACAGTATCTTCCCACGGATATGGGTTTTATATCATTTTTAGTCACACACCATGGACTTATTTTGAGGACTTTATTTGATTATATAGTTTTTATTCTATGTTTTATGTATATGTGGGGCGAACTAGAGCTGCACACTGTTTTTTATATTTTCATTGTATGTTGCCTGCATTTTTTTGACAGCTGCTGTTTCACTATTTGTGTCTCATTTAGCGTGGGTTATTATCATTATATTCAGAATATGGAAATGGACACAGGTTCACATTAAAGCGTTTTTACCTTGGTGAACAGAAAAATCTGCCATTGCAGATTTTGGACGTTTCATGTTCCTTCTCTTTCCCAAATGAGCAAATTAAAGTGTATCAATTAGGATTACCCATTACTCCTAATCTACATACTTCAATGATAATAGCAAACAATTAGAGACATGTGTATGGATATGTAAAGGGGTTAAGTAATACAAACACACTGCTTTAAAATTGTTAATGGCAATGGTGTACATTATGAACGTATCATGTTCTACAGATGATAGGATTACAGCTAATACAAACACAAAAGCAAAATTCTACAGATATTTTTGCCCAAGCATCTCCCTTGGGGTGGCAAACAAATATGGTGTTTTAATAAATCACTGATAACTAGCAAAACAGTTGAGTTTTAAATGCTCAGCTAACAGCAGCTAGCAGCTTAGCGACTTATCCTGATTGCTCTTGTCCTATGTTTGGTGTCAGGCTTTCATCAAATAAAGGCAAATTTACACTAAGGCAACATTCATCCCTTTGAAAATACATATGTGGCTGATAAAATCTTGTGACACATTCTAACACACTGGTGCGAATTTTTAATTGCTTTTTAAGCAAACATGCGACAAGTTTAAGCAGCTATCATTCTTGGGTGTACCAGGTCCTCCTTCCTTGCCAAGGCTCTTGAGTTGTCAAAAATCGCGATGACCATGTCACTATAGCCACAGTAGGCCAAAGTGGCTGTTAAGGGACCTCTAGGCAAGGGGAAAAATGTTGGAGCTGCATACAATTAAAATAAAAAGGCAGGTACCTCGGATCTTTCCGAATGCTCCTCTTTCTCCTTCCTCTTAGGGACATCCAAAGAATAACTGCGGATATTACTTGATTCGGACATTTGGCTCTTCTGGAATTCTTTGTGTTCCCTATTTGGCACCTGAATATGTAATATCGTGTTAGAACAGAAGAGAAGACTGTAAAAGTAAATAGTTTTATATTTGCATACTATTACTGCCCTATGTCAAAGTAAACCTGACTTCTAAAGTACCATCAATGCAGGCAACTGTGTTAGTCTTCAGACTGATTTCTGTGTCCCTGAGTGTCCTCCCGGATCCTAGGCCATGACTGTGCCTGTAGCATTGGCCAAGTTAAGGTTAAGCTCCAACTCCTCTTGATCCTTTTCCCTTCCTATTTGTCATTCAACTATAAAATTGTTTTGGGCAGGAGAGACTTTGGTATTTGGATGATAGATGGTGGAGCTCTCATGAGGGACACGGCATAATCTAAACTTGCAAAAAAAAACTGAGGATTCATCTTTAGTCTAGGCCTATTTTCCAAGGTAGCTCAGTCAGGACTCAGAGATAACTTTGATAACTTTTAAATGCAACTGTCCCTTCACCTCAGGTTTCATCTCCTTGGTGGGCATCGGCCACTTATGCTCATATTTTTCCTTGATGTTCTGCTCAGCGCTTGGTGTGGGAGTTGGAATAGAGTTCTCCAGAGAGGTGCTGTGACTTTTCCCAACCATGTTCTGGACTGACTTCACCATATTCTTCAAATCTTCTGGATATGGAGTTGGATACCTCTTCAAATTGATCTCAACCTGAATTGCAAGAAGTACAGAGTTAAATTTTTTTTATTTAGCTTGTTAGTGAACCTATATATGACAGGAGATGGCATACGTATGGGTTTTGAGTAATCTTTGGGTCTAAAATGATTTCAATAATGCATAGTTGAAATGTGAGTTTTATGAAGTCATTGTGTGACAGGGCCCTAAGAGTATATTGAATGTTGAGATTACTGTTCCTTTTAAAAATAAACTCTTGGGAAAAAAAGTGATGCAATAGCTGCAATCCTGTATACTCAGGGGCGGACTGACCATTTGGAAACTCGGGCACTGCCGGAGGGCCCGGGGTCAGTAGGGGGCCCCATGAGATGCCCCTGGTACCTTTTTCATAGGCTTTTTTGAGTTTGGGCAAGGACACAGGGGCCCCATGATCCCCTATTGCCCGGGGGCCCATGAGTTGTCAGTCCGCCCCTGTGTATACTCCTCGTGAACGTGGCTAATTTTCAAACAGAAACATTTTTGTCCTTATAATTACTGTACTTAACACGAACACAGACTCTGTTCATTCCAAAATTTACATATGCTCTCGTTTTCCCAGCTACATAAAAGACTTATCTGACTATTTATATCACAGAATGATTCCATAAACAGCGAGGTTTCAGCGGGTCGGTGTAATTTGTTGAGTCTCGTTATAAGTGAAGGAAAAAAAAAAAAAAGTATTTAACTTGAAGTGTTCAATTAGATATCTCAACGTTACAAAATTAATTCTAGATTTAAATAAAGCGAGCATCTGTGAATATTCAGGGAGGATGGCGTTGCCTAGGAGACTCCTAAGGAATTAAAGGGCAACTCTAGCTAAAACTGATACCGTGGCTTTGCTTGGCTGCAAACACGTGAGGTCTTTTATTTCCTGAGGCAATACCTATGACAAGATATTCCACTGGCTGGCCATGGTCACTGCAAAACCAAATAATGGTGTCATGCATCCCTGGCAGATTGCTCAAAATGTAGTATACAGAAATAAAAGCAATTCCTGCTGCATTGGTGCCTTATAGGAGAGGATGTATCCAAGCCAAAACTGTCTCAGGTGGAGCTGACCTTTTGCCTCTCGCTCTGTGTAATTGGGGGACTATGTGGCAAATGAGGTTTAATGTTGATAAATGTAAGGTTCTGCACTTGGGGGCTAAGAATATGCATGTATTATACATACTAGGGGGGGGGGGGGGGTACAACTGGGAGGGGTCAATGGTGGAGAAGGATCTGGGAGTTCTGGTAGATCACAAGCTTAATAATGGCATGCAATACCAAGCTGCGGGATCTAAAGTGAGCAAAATCCTCTCTTGTATTAAAAGAGATATAGACTCCAGAGAGAGATATCATTTCCCCGGACAAATCATTAGTAAGACCTCATCTGGAATATGCAGTTCAGTTTTGGGCACCAATTCACAGAAAGAATATTGGGGAACTGGAGAAAGTACAGAGAAGGGCAACCAAACTGATAAGAGGCATAGAGGAGATCAGCTATGAGGAAAGATTAGAGGAACTGAATTTATTCTCTACTGAGAAGAGGAGATTAAGGGGGGGATATGATTACCATGTATAATACATAAGGGGGGATATGATCACCATGTATAATACATAAGGGGGGATATGATCTCCATGTATAATACATAAGGGGGGGATATGATCACCATGTATAATACATAAGGGGGGATATGATCACCATGTATAATACATAAGGGGGGATATGATCTCAATGTATAATACATAAGGGGGATATGATCTCCATGTATAATACATAAGGGGGGATATGATCTCCATGTATAATACATAAGGGGGATATGACCTCAATGTATAATACATAAGGGGGGATATGATCTCCATTTATAATACATAAGGGGGATATGATCTCCATGTATAATACATAAGGGGGGATATGATCTCCATTTATAATACATAAGGGGGATATGATATCCATGTATAATACATAAGGGGGGATATGATCTCCATGTATAATACATAAGGGGGGATATGATCTCCATGTATAATACATAAGGGGGGATATGCTCTCCATGTATAATACATAAGGGGGGATATGCTCTCCATGTATAATACATAAGGGGGGATATGATCTCCATGTATAATACATAAGGGGGGATATGATCTCCATGTATAATACATAAGGGGGGATCTGATCTCCATGTATAATACATAAGGGGGGATATGATCTCCATGTTTAATACATAAGGGGGGATATGATCTCCATGTATAATACATAAGGGGGGATATGATCTCCATGTATAATACATAAGGGGGGATATGATCTCCATGTATAATACATAAGGGGGATATGATCTCCATGTATAATACATAAGGGGGGATATGATCTCCATGTATAATACATAAGGGGGGATATGATCTCCATGTATAATACATAAGGGGGGATATGATCTCCATGTATAATACATAAGGGGGGATATGATCTCCATGTATAATACATAAGGGGGATATGATCTCCATGTATAATACATAAGGGGGGATATGATCTCCATGTAAAATACATAAGGGGGGATATGATCTCCATGTATAATACATAAGGGGGATATGATCTCCATGTATAATACATAAGGGGGATATGATCTCCATGTATAATACATAAGGGGGGATATGATCTCCATGTATAATACATAAGGGGGATATGATCGCCATGTATAATACATAAGGGGGGGATATGATCACCATGTATAATACATAAGGGGGGATATGATCTCCATGTATAATACATAAGGGGGGGATATGATCACCATGTATAATACATAAGGGGGGATATGATCTCCATGTATAATACATAAGGGGGGATATGATCTCCATGTATAAATACATCAGTGGTTCATATAGTGAACTCGGTGTGTAGTTATTCACCCTGAGGTCATCACAGAGGACAAGGGGGCACTCTTTACGTCTGGAGGAAAAGAGATTTAATCTCCAAATACGGAAAGGTTTCTCCACAGTAAGAGTTGTGAAAATGTGGAATAGACTCCCTCAAGAGTTGGTTCTGGCCAGCTCAGTGGATTGCTGTAGGAAAATCCTGGATTCTTTCTTGGATACACAGAATATAACTGGATATAACATTTATAGGTAAAGTTGATCCAGGGAATATGCGATTGCCTCTCGGGGGATCAGGAAGGAATTTTTTCCCCCTGCAGGAGCCAAGTAGATCATGCTTTGCTGGTTTTGTTTGCCTTCCTCTGGATCAATGGTGGGTATAGGATTCTAACTTTTTTTTAAAAACTGGTTAAACTGGATGGACTTTTGTCTTTTTTCAGTCAGACTAACTATGCATATGTGTGTCGGGAAAGAGCGTGAACTTTAATACCCGCACAACGCACATATGCATCCATGGGCAGCAGAGCATTCTGTGCTGAGAGCGCGTTCAGTGCATGCCCCCACCACAGTGATCGAGCTGTCAAAGACAATAAAGATCGGCAGCAAGTGGGACTGCACCAGCGTGTGGTGCGTTGTTTCCTGTTACCGCATTAACAAGTACAATTTAAAACCAATGGCACTGCATTGCATTTCTAATGTGTTATCGTGTGTTACCACAACAACATAGGTAAGGGTAAATGGGCCCTTAAAGGTGAACTCTGGACAAAAAACATTTTTCAAACATTTCCACTGTGAAAAATAAACTGTAACGTGTGGCTGCTGCTTCTCTTCTATTAAGAAAGCGTCTTGTATCCTTTTTTAAAGAATAGAAGGCATTCTGTGATTTGAGAAAGGGAGTTTGTGATGTCCATCTGAATCTCCATTCACAGACCCCTTTCGTTGGGACAGGGATAGCAGATTACACTCACACCACAGAATGGTTCAAAGAACAGACATCCCGCCTTCCATCCCTTATTAAAGATAGTGAACATCTGGATCTTCAGTCTGCAGCATTAATCAGTAGGTACAGATCTAGTGCTGGGCATTCTCACTAGAATGTCAAGTATTAGAAGACAAACGTTGTATTTTAGAAGCGCCCTGTATTATCTCTATGTTTGTAAAAACAAGGAGTGAAAGTGTTACTAAACCCCGGACCCTGCATTCCCTATATCCGGTCTCCCACAGTACACAGAACATGGAAATGCAAATATTTTAGCAAATATAAACTGCTAAATACCTTTTCTCATCAGCAGTATATAGTAGTCTTGTGACTTCTATCAGTGTCCAGCAGAGCACTGGTTAAAGCTTGTAGGAGGAGTTTTCATTCTCCCCCTGATTGTCCTATAAGGCTGCATGACCCCTGACTCTCTGGAGAGCACTGATTGGTCCCGTGTTCATCACATGAACCCTCCCAATAAAAACAAAACTCCCTAGCAATACACCCCAAACTGAGCATGTGGAGCTAGCCCCCAATGCTCTGTTCTGTCAGCAGATGGATTGGTAACAGTAGAAAAAGGGGAGGATCAGAGAAGACAGGATCAAACCACCTTTTTACACAATGCGGAACATTAACCCCTTAGGTTCCACAGTGAGTATAACAAGCATGATTTACTGCATATACAGACTGATTGTACTGTTTTGGGTTTAGTAACTGTAATACAAATAATAGCAAATTATATTTAAATTAAAGTGGTTGTAAATCCTTACTGTACATACTCTCACCGGCCACTTTATTAGGTACACCTTGCTAGTATCGGGTTGGACCCCCTTTAACCTTCAGAACTGCCTTCATTCTCCATGACGTAGATTCAACAAGGTGTTGGAAACATTCCTCAGAGATTTTGTTCCATATTGACATGATAGCAACACGCAGTTGCTGCAGATTTGTGGTCTGCACATCCATAATGCGAATCTCCCGTTCCACCACATCCTAAAGGAACTCTATTGGATGGAGATCTGGTGACTGTAGAGGCCATTAGAGTACAGTGAGCTCATTGTCATGTTCAAGAAACCAGTTGGAGATGATTTGAGCTTTT